TGCGAACTCGAGTCGTATATGCATGAGCTGATAGCCGACGAGGCGCGTACTGTTTTATTATATGCACAAACTTTGTTGCCCTTTCGGTGCATTTTGGTGTGCTATTATCAACTAAAGCTTGGATTTCTATTTCACTCAACTCCCCAAATCTTTCAGCCATTTTGTTTACTTTCTCTACTAGACAGATATGAGCTAATATCTGTCTAGTAGCCTACCAATGAAATTGCAGCATACCTCATATCCGGCGCTTGTGTATATAATAAATGCATTTAGATTGTCCTGAATGCATCGAAGTTTAAATAGCCTTAACTACAGAATCAATATTGAGCTGAAACTATTGTGTGTTTTGGCATCTCAGACAATGCTTCTAATGAAAATGTTTAATATCATCATTTTAGAAATAGAATAGTCAAATGCTTGTGAGCTATGCTGTAATTTTTATATCATAAAAATGTAAAGTAAAACACTGTTGAATATTTTATGTGAACTGAAACATCTATATCTTTGTGCACAATTTCTGCACCAAAGTTCAGGAATTTCATAATTATATGTCTATATAGTTATGAAATGAACAACTCGTTCTGTTAACGCCACGAAAACATATGTTTGCATAAGGGCTGTAATTTTTTTAGTCTCCCGTTGATACGACTAAATTATTTTGGCTTAACCGTGATGTATTGCGATTGCACTTTAATTGGATAGTTGAGTGTCTGTATATTTAAAACAAGTATTTGCTCGTAAAGGTGCACATAGGAGAAGGTACATAATTATGGAGAAATAATACGTTTGTATACAAATGTTTTATACTGTGGGGAATTTTGTTGTTTCCCACAATTGGTTTGAAGAAGTATTTTCACGTTTTTGTTTAAGATATGTTTATTTTAATTCTAATCTCACTTGCTCGCACGCTCTCTCTCTTGCTCTATCTAATATGTCAATCAAGTGTCAGTTTTTGTTCGCTCACGAATTAACTTGTTAACGATTAACTTGTTCCCTTGCTAATAACAACTAAGACGCTACTAACATTCACGACAATACAATTATATATTATACAAATGGTTATGAATTTATCATGAACTAAAAAAGAGACGGCAACACTTTTCCTGATGTCAACGTTTCGCTAGAGAAAACTTTACGCGTATTGTAGAATACAATAATACAATAATAAGTAGAATACAATTAATCCGCCAATTTTTAGTGCGATGCCGATGGCTCTCATTCTTTTAAATCTGGCATTCGTTTAAACATGAACGAGTTTAACTTTAGCCGCTGTGGTCGCGCTGTCTTTCTAGCGAGCTTAAGATGCACGACAAATAAGAAATTCCACGAACGCAGACGTTATTTACACAGCGGTTTAGGCTTCAATGAATAAAAGTCAAAGTCAGAGTCGTATGATGGATAAAGTGGCAAAAAATATTGAATTCAAACCTAAAAATTACTATATTAGTTTTTAAAAATACCATGCGATGTCTTTATGCAGAACGACGTTTCTAATCCAACAAGACGCCTGCTCAAGGCGTTACTCCGCCTGCAGGTGAGAAAACATACAGGTTATAAAATGAGGTGCTTTTTGTACTGTTGCCTGTCAAACTGTTATCTGTCATACTTTTGGGATTTTTTGTTATACATTTTGTATTCATTAATATGAAATTATTTATTAATGCATCTTTATTCATTGATGTAACTTTATTTAATGATGTAACTTCATTCAGTTGCTTAACTTTGTTTACTGATGTAACTTCATTAATTAATATAACTTTTTTCATTGTAACTTCATTGTTGGCATTCAAAGGTAAGTTGGCATCTAAAGTTCAAATGTGACTTGGTATTTAAATGTGACTTGGTATTCTAATGTGACTTGGTATTCAAATGTGCATTCATGGAATTCACACTCAGGGACATTAATTTTTTTTTGCAACTTCCTGCAAATGAGCACCAAAACCTGTAAATTAGAACAAAAATCAAAAATAAAGTTTTATAGGTTTGGCAAATCAATCCTGTAATAGGAACAGTTTTAATACCCCCTTTTAACCCTGTTATCGCTCGCTACTCTGGTTTATATAAATGATCACAAAGCCTGGTCAAATTGTAATCAGGACCTAATGTTTCGACAGTCCAGTCTACTATTTTCATCAGGGGTGATCTAAAGCTGGAATCAAAGCTTCTTAGATACCCAAGGGATGATGTCACCTGCCAAAGACTGGATTGTCAAAATGTTGGGTCCTGATTACAATTCGACCAGGTTTATAATCATTTATACATTTAAAATAGACTCTAGTAAATAGAAATATCGAATTCTTAAACATGCATGCAGTGTCGCTAAACTTGTAGTATGTATAATTTCTGAGAACAAACAGTACTTTGTATATACCTAGTTTGTATTAAAACACTACGTCAATGTGAATAACTAAATCAACTATAAAACAAAAAATCTTGGGTTTACTAATATGCAATTACCGCCACAGCATATGAATACGATCTAAATCTTAACAACTTACCTTTGTAGTTGTTGAACATGGTTCTGAAAGCTCTTTCAATTCGACATTCATATTTTTCAATTTTTCACAAGGGAGGAACGTCGATTCAAACACGAGGCACAAGGACTCGAAGAAAAATAAACATTGCACAAAATCACCCCAAAACCTCCCTAAATGCCAACTGATGTACATAATTAATCCGTGTAACCCAGGGCTTCTCGGTCAAAATGTTTTGGGTTACCTGTAGAAATGCCAACTTCTGTCGCCCAAAACTACGACTACGACGAAAAGGAAAAAAGACCATGGCATTTTAAGACTCCGCTGCGCATACGCAGGCGGAGTAATAATAATTATCATGGAATTGCATTTCCTGCATGCATGGGGAGTGTATAAACAGAGATTTATTAGAGTAAATATTGAGCTGAAACTATTGTGTGTTTTGGCATCTCAGACAATGCTCGCTCCACTAAAAATGTTCTAAAATATCATTCTTTTAGAGGAAGACTAGCCAAATTAATTTTTAGTAAAGAATAAGAATGTAAAGTAAAGCACTATTGAATATTTTATGTGAACTGAAACATCTATATCTTTGTGCACAATTTCTGCACCATATGCAGGAATTTCATATATGTCTATATAATTATGAAACGAACAACTCGTTCTGTTAACGCCATGAGAACATATGTTTGCATATGCATGGGGCTGTAATTTGATTAGTCTTCAGTTAATACGACCAAATTATTTTGGCTGAACCTTGATGTATCGGGGTTGCACTATAATTGGACATATTTTAATGTCGGTTTATATTTGCTAGTTTGAAAAAAGTATTTGCTCGTAAATGTGGACATATAGGAGAAGGCACATATAATTATGGAGAAATAATACGTTTGTAAACAAATGTTATATACTATTATATATTATACAAATGTTTATGAATTTATGATGAGCTAAAAAAGAGACGGCAACACTTTTCCTGATGTCAACGTTTCGCTAGAGAAAACTTTACGCGTATTGTAGAATACAATAGAGTATATTGGGAAATTTATAAAAATTACGCTCGCTTGTTTAGCCTATGTCATGCTGTTCCTCTTTATTTCCGTTATAAATGTATAAAATTAAATAGCTTATTAATCCGCCAATTTTTAGTGCGATGCCGACGGCTCTCATCCTTTTAAATCTGACATTCGTTTAAACATGAACGACTTTAACTTTAGCCGCTGTGGTTGCGTTGTCTTTTTAGGGAGCTTAAGATGCACGACAAATAAGAAATTCTACGAACGCAGACGTTATTTACACAGCGGTTTAGGCTTCAGTTAGTAAAAGTCAAAGTCGGAGCCGTAAGATGGATGAAAAAATGAAAAATTATTATATTAGTTATTAAAATACCATGCGATATCTTTATGCAGAACGACGTTTCTTATCCAACGATAAGTTATTATGTGCTATTGCATTTCCTGCATAAACAGTGATTCGTTAGAATAAATATTTAGCTGAAACTATTGTGTATTTTTGCATCTCAGACAATGTTAGCTTCCACTAAAAATGTTCTAAAATATCATTCTTTTAGAGGAAGACTAGTCAAATTAATTTTTAGGAAGAATAAGAATGTAAAATAAAGCACTATTGAATATTTTATGTGAACTGAAACATATCTATATTTTTGTGCACAATTTCTGCATAGACATAGTGCAGAGCAGGGATTTCTTATGTCTATATTGCTATGAAAACTCGGTCTGTTACGCCACGAAAATATATGTTTACATAGGGCTGTAATTTGATTTGTCTCCCCGTTAATATGACAATCTCGTGATTACGAACAAATATCTCAGTTTCTGTATTGTAATGAAACAAGTATTTGAACGTAAATGTAGGCATAAGACAATGTACATAATTATGGAGAAATAATACGTTTGTATACAAATTTACTCCACCCCAGCCTAATATTTGTTATAAACTAAACATAAGCTAAAAACAATATCCCTAAGAGGAAACTTTCGAAGCTATGGATCAAAATATACTATGGTTACGTAATATTTTAATAATATCTTACCAAACATAACATACAACATTATACATATACACACGTGGTGTACGCACAATCTATATAGTTCACTATATATTTGTGAAGAAATGTGTTGTTTAATTTTTTTATCATTCACTTCCCTATTCCCCTTTTTGTCGCACAATTCATATATACTGCATATAAATGGTGCAAATTATAGTTAAAATGTATAGACTCCTGCCCGCTAACATTGTGCATTCTTTCAATTCCTATTCAGCAATCAAAACTTCAAAATTTTGGCATATTTTGATTGGAACTTTACAGTTGTTAAGTCTCTAAATGCATTAAACTGTTTACTCTCGATTAGCGTAAATGAAGGACTTTGAGGACCAAGCTGAAGGAAGACTCATTCTATTGTGTTTTCAAACAATTTTGATTCTAAAATATGATTGGCCAAATTAAAGTCACATGGACATTTCATCCTTCCGTGATGACATCACACGAGAGCATAAAACAGTGGTTCTGGCGTGTAATTGATCACAATATCTACGAGACAGAAGATAATCAAGAAATCAAGAGATCCGAAAGAAAATCTTTGCTCATTCAAAGCATACCATTAAGGTAAGAAGTTTTTCATACAAAATTTAATTTTCCCTTTCATTTTTGAGGTTTTGTGTAGATGAAGCTCGGATATAACTGATAATCCTTGCCTCATTCGCTATTTTCAGTCATCTTCCATCCATCTTATTTTACTCGTTGCTTTTCAAATCCGGTGGCGTGAAGAATGTATTATTTGAAAAAGTGCAACTAATTGTTCGCATTAGAGTTAGCTTGCGGCTGGGCTACCGAAAAATGCCTAAATGCTCGTATTTATTGGCTCAGTGAATTCAACTGTCTTTGGCATATAGTTAGTGATTCTTATTTGCGATTTGAAGTCAATTTTTGAGGCAAAATGTTTAAATCGTTGCTATTTGCATTTGGTCAATACAAATTGCTTTTGTTTCATCCATGCCTTTTTCTGAATGCGATTTATATTTTCTTTTGGTAGCTTTGTATACAAAGAAAAACGATGAGGTTTGCAATCGTGATTGTGCTGGTGTTGGCCGCTGTGGGCATGGGATCTGCTCGTGTATGCTACAACACACATTGTGCCATGAAGACAGTGTATTTGTATCCACAGTGTTGCCCATATAATCTCCATGTAGCGAAAGTGCGGTTCTGTCACACAGCCTGGCATTACTGCGGCCGTAAACGATCCGCTCCTCTGCCCAAAGACAAAGTGGAAGTTGGTTTCCCCTGCGATTTCAACGAGTACGACCTCAACAAAGATGGATCAATCAGCAAGAAAGAGTTCGAGAAAGTCACAAAATTGTCATCACAGGACGTGGCCTCCGTTTTCAAGGATTTGGACAAGAACGGCGATGACAAAATCACTTGCGACGAGTTGAAGAAATCAAGTTTAGAATTCGAATGTAAGCTCGTTGGTTGCGACGACAAAACAAATGATGAAACCGAGCTGGAATATTGAGTAAAAGGCACCCCACACTTCTGATCATATTTCAAACTTAAGTAAACAGCATAATATACAAACATTATCGTAGTTTTGATTCTTGGCAACATTTCTTGTGATTGCTCACACATTAACAAGAATTGTAATATTAAGTAATGATTTAATAAAAGCTGCATAGAAAAAGCTTCGTGTACTGTTCTTGTTTCATTAAATGTGTCTCGTCACGAATACATAATTTATTATATAAAGGACTGGGAAATGCGGTGTTTGCTGATGCATAATTTAACCTATGTAATATCGCAAGCTACCTTAGGTTTAAAATACTTTTGATTGTGTCCTTTAAATGCTTCGTACCTATAAGTTTTTATTTTGAATTAAGGTAGTTTTCAAAGAATGTCAAAGCTATGCTCTCGGAAAGCTACGATCACCACAAGCCATTAATATTAGAAACATTGAGTTAACAAAACGACCAAAAAAATAAGATGGATCGCTATCCTTGCAAATACTACGCAAGACTCTCCTTAGAAACCAACAAGCCCAGAAAAATTTAGAAGGTCCTTTTAAAATTTTTTTGTTATAAAAAATCGATCCAAATTAATAGATCCTCTCGTTAATTACGTCACAGATTTATCGTTATTGAAGCCACCTGAAATAAGTGAATTAAAATTTTTGCTCCCACGTGCAATGATGCAATAACATCTTGTAACATAACGTTTATCAGTTTAACAAGTATTCACCTCTGCTATATTCATGGAAATATATCAGCATAAATTAAAAAGTTAATAATCAGGATGAAATATTTTTGCAATACTTTTGAATTACGACCGGAAGTTTGTAACTAAATTAGTTACACATTTCCGCACATAATACAAAAGTATAAACAATTTGCCAACTTCGCATGGCTATATTTTCCGTATTTTACAAAATTTCGCAACCAAACTTGGCAGTTTTACTAATTTAAGTAAGATCTTTCTAGCTGGGGTGATTTATTTTCCTCTAGTTACTTCGATCAAAAGTTAGTCTAAAGCGCAAGTCATCCATTATGCAAGAGAATTCATTCGAAACAATTTGAATTAAAATTTGAGTGTTTTAGTATATGCACTTTTTTTTCGAAATAGGTTTTACTTTATATCATTGAAAAGTTTTAATTGCAATTCAATTATTTCAATATACTTCATCAGTCATTATGACATAATTGATAATACCCATATATGCATACACTGCAGTCATATTGTAGTTATGAAAACAAGTGAGTTATGTAAAAAAGCTATTAAAACAAGGGAGTATGATCTTTAATTGAATGTCACCAGGCTGTCCCCCCGCCCATCACACTGTAAGGAAACAGGGGCACACTATTAGAAAAATCTCAGAAAGAAATGCTTGACTATATATGGGCCAATATATTTCGTCTAAGCTCTTAAAATTCCTATAATATCCCCCCACCTTTTTTGGAAAATCCAATTGATAGTTTGACAGCAATAATTATCCTGGTAAACAGTGCTAACTCCCCCCCCCCCCCCACTACGGGTTGGCAAAAGAATCTCCTATCATGCTCCATATAAAATATGCCTTCATTGATTTTGTCATGGTATCATTGATATGGGGATTCCATTGACGGGTGCATAATACACCGGTAAAAGTGCACGAGACGAGTTGTTTGTATTTGTGGTAGCTTGATATCAATGTTCTTGTGCTAGGTCACATGTTGACATGCTGTTAAACAGGATGTAGAACAAATTCAACCGCAATTACTATGTCAACCATGAACAAACTGATTAAATTTCAATTGTATAGACAGTTAAAGTTACTGAGGTCATGTAAAAACCGAGAAAATGAATTAATTAGCATATGATATTACCTATTTTCTTATTTACCTAAAACACAAGAAAACTGACTGAAAAAAACTACACATTCACATAATATTTTAAAAATTATTGGGTGCAACAATTACCAGTGGTGAATATTATTGAAGACTGTGAACAATTAGGACAGCGAATCAAACAATTCAGTCATTTCTGTGAGCTCACTTTTCTCATCAAACGTATAAAGAAATTGAGTTCAGTCAGTTCACTGAAACAATTATCATCAATCCACATTAATAAACTTCATGCAATATAGAATGAAATGAGCTGTGCTTTCCTGTATTTAGGCGCTATAGTATTTCACTTGCCGCCATTTTGAATACTCCGATCAGCACTCATCAGCACCAACTTCTCTGAGCATTGTTAGAAACCTACCAACATGCCTATATCAACATGACATGGCATCGTCAGTGAGAGGGCCTCAACCCATCCAGTACATGCAGCAGTTTCACCACCGATTCTTTCAGCATCACAGGGCTTACATGCTGTACAACATCAATCATATGATTCCTCTTTTCCAACAACTTGCTAAGTTTTTTTAATCTTTTGTAATTTCATAATACACACATTAACACCCATGTCTAAACGACAACATTGTTTAAAGTCAAAATCTTGCAGTTTAACTGTTGGAGTCAATGTATAATTAACATGTGAGCAGTGTTGTGTTGTGTTAAAGTAGCCGGTTTGTTGTGGTATACACCAGTTGGTATACCCCGGATTGTTGTGGTTTAATTTCGTTTACCGAATAATTTCATCTAAATCAATCTGCCTTACCATGGAACGGCGCCTGTCTCTGTATGAGTTGACCCAGTGCCTCGGGAGATTCCTTAGCTTCTTTCCTTTGTTGATGGATTTGTTTCTCTCGGCCACTGTATGTATGTCGAGCAAATTTCTCGTCTCCGTGCTTCAGGAATGAAGTTGTTCTTCATGTTCTCTGCATGCTCAAGATGCTGGTTCTGTAATTCAGAGTAGCGTATCGAATCCTCATGAGATTGTGCAAATCAATGCAGGCTTTAACGATCAGCTTTACCGCAGAGGGGTGATGCTGCATAGTATTTAACAAAACCTGGAAACGATTCGTCAGGATGCCGAAAGCGTTTTCAACTACTCTTCTGGCGCGGGAAATCGTGTAGTTAAATATCCTTTCTTCATGGTGTAGAAACTTCATCATCACATCATGGTCTCTCAGAAGAAAAAGTGGAAGTTAAAGGAACACCAAAAAGCCTTTTTGACATCTAATTAGATAGTTCAAAATCAGCTTTGGTCATAACGTTTGTGTCAAACAAACCTTAATATCGCGTGGGGCTCTATAAATAGGCATTAGGGAATACATGCTCGTCGGTATTAATAGACGGTGAGAAGGTACTCGATAAACAGCTCATAGCAAATGGTTTCTCTTATCAGTTTTCCACAATTGCTGGAACTTTTAAAGAAAAGTTGTCACTTGGGCCCAAACTGTCCCTGATAAATATCATACAAACTCTGTTTTTAAATTTGCCCATGTTTCTGTACCGATAGTGATGAAACACTTTAAGAGCCTAAATAGAAAAATGGCAACTGGGCAAGTCCGCCGAGAGGGGGGGGGGGGCAGGGGGGCATTTTGCCACGGGCCACAAACCTGAAGGACCCCCCGACTTAAGATAGAACCTAAAATTAAAACACATTAATATTACAAAATGTTGGGCTCAGTGTATTATTCGCACACTAGTCGAAAGTACGAGTGACAGTCATTGTTATTTTAAATTCTAAGATAATGTTGATATTGTTTGTAAAAAAAGTTTGTTTGTAAAACTTTTGCACAACGTTTTGAAGTACTTTATGCCTAGCAGATGTTTAAAACCATGACGTCATAGCGCCCAGAAAAAAATTTTGGTCCAATACGCCGTTTTTCAGACTCCAGTACACTCGACCATAGTCGAATACCCCATTTTCCGGCGGACTCGACCACGGTCGAATACGCCATTTTCCGGCGGACTCGCCCATGGTCTGATACGCCGTTTTCCAGCGGACTCGACCATGGTCGAATACGCCATTTTATACATACATAAACATACATAAACAATTTATTTACTGACGCATTTCTCATCACCATTTAAACTGATGTTCTTCCTGAGAAGCGTCACAGAGATAAAAACATATTTACAAAAAAAAATTGAACTTTAAATGGAAGGTTTCTTAGAAGGTCTTTGATAATAGTGATTGATCAAACTAGGTTTCAAGATGCCTTTTAAAAGCACTTAAAGTAGTTGATAGCTTTATTTGCAACTGTAGATGGGGAATTCCATGTTAAAGCCCCACTATACTTAAAGGTTTTTTTAAGATATTCGCTCTTAGGTTTAGGGATAATCAAATCAGTTTCCCTATTTCGTAATTCATAGTTATTTTGAATATCATTCATTCTAATAAAAGACGCCCTTACGTTGGGAGCAGTGCGGTTACTTAAAACTTTAAACAATAAAATAGACTTGTAAGTCGTATAGTTTTGTAATGTCTTTCTTCAATATTTTTCCAAGTCAGAGCCTGGAGGATATCAGAGGAACGAGTTTCATAAGATGCCCCTGAAATAACTCTTGCAGCTCTGTTTTGAAGCTTTTGGAGTTTATCTCTTAACACAATGTAACATTAATACCACAGCGGCGAGCATGATAATCAAAATACGGTAGTATTATTGAATTTGAAATATTCAATAAAGTTTCTTTCATTACAAATGGTTTAGTTCTCCTCATTCCCAAGCACTTTGTTCTCATCATCACATTTACTAAGGAAAGTTTCAAATAAATCAAACAAATCAGATTCGGAGTGAGGAGGTCTATACCAAACACTTATAAAAGATTTCCCATGAGGCTTTGAAATTTCCACACAGATCATTTCATGGCACCCAGTAATTAAAACATTTCTCTCCAAATATGAATGATGCTCCCGAATATAAACAACCACACCGTCCCCAAATCTAGTGCGATCCTTTCTAATTATGTTATATCTGGGATTTGAATTTCATTATTATAATAATAACCAGAGAGGTGCTGAAATCACCTAACGCTCGCCTGCACTGTTTGTCTAGAATAAGGCTAAACTCTGTATGAAAGGTATCTGTATGAAGCACAAATTACCGATCTTTTTATTACAAATTACAAGGCTAAAATCCGCTTTGGAAGGTAATATTAAGCACAAACTTCAGATATTAGTTGTGACCTCAGAATTACTGGCCAAAACTGGCCTCGGAATTACATTAGTTTTATTTGTGACCAATATTTCTTCCGTTTCTCGCAATCCGCGCACGTGATATCAACAGGTAAGTTAACGGACCAGG